GTGAATTGAATACATTAAAGGATGATTTACTATCTTTTACACAAGGAGGATATATTAGCCATCGATCTAATCAGCCTCGGACAATGGGAAACCCCTTCCATACCCCACAGCTAAACCCTAATGCAGTCATCTTCAGTCCTCTTAAAAGTCACAGAGAAGTTTGAGGAACTTTGCTGGGACTGTAACAAAAGAGCTCAATGCTGGGAACTTCAACATAGGGAAGATGGCACAGCAGGAAAGGCTGCTACCCAGAAAGGTTGTTGGAACTGTGGAGAGCAAGGATATATGAGGAGCCAGTGTAAGAAGAATACTACCAATAAGTCAGCTTTGGGAAACCAGTAGTGGTTGGTGCTGAGGAACGCCCACCAACCCCAGTTGTGAAAGTCCCAACAGCTAAGTGTAAAATGGCAAGTACACATAGTGTCTACGTGACAGGAAAGCTGGATGGTCAAAAGTGCAACTTTGTCATAGATTCTGCATCTCAGCAAACCCTTGTGAGTATCAAGATGCTGGATCACAAAGGAGTACCAGAAGCCATAGAGAAGCTCTGTGGTGTGACAGGACATTATGCAAGGTTGTGGGGACCAGTGTGGGTAACTATTGAGCTCATAGGCATGAAGGTCAGACACAAAGTATACTTGGCTGATATTGAAGACACATGCATACTAGGGTTGGACTACTTACTACTGAGGAAGTGTGTAATTAATTTTGATAAAATGACGTTTGGAAACAACAAAGGCCAAATTCTGGTAAGTATCAAAAGAGAGGTTGAATTAACCAGGTGCCATCAAGCTGAAGTCAAAGTGACTGAAAGAGTTGATAATGGTGAAGTGGAACCAAATTTAGATATCAAAGCAGAACAGGAGAAAGACCAAGACTTGAAGCCAATAATTGATTTTCTAAAAGCAAGTGTTTTGCACCCTGCTTGGGAGAAGGTGTCTAGCTTAAGCCCTGTGATAAAGAACTATTGGGCACAATGGGACCAGTTGAAGCTTGAAGATGGTATTCTTCTCCGGTGATGGGAGAATGCAGATGGGAAAGTGACGACCTGGCAAACAGTTATACCAGGAAAGGTACGGGAAGTTGTGCTGCGTCAATCCCATGATAGTTTAACAGGAGGGCATCTTGGAGTTAAGAAGACATTGAGTCACCTATGGCAAACATTTTACTGAATAGGTATGAGGCAAGATGTGGAAGAATGGTGCAGGACCTGCAGTACATGGTGTGCTAATAGGGGACCCAAGCATAAGGGACATGTTCCAATGAAGCCATATCAAGTTGGCACACCAATGGAAAAAGTAGCTGTTGACAATGGTGGTCCATTGCCCCAAACTCGTCCTGGAAACAGGTACATTTGTGTGGTGATGGATTATTTCACTAAGTGGCCTGAGGCATATGCAATACCAACTCAGGAAGCTACAACTGTAGCTTTGGCTATTAGTGATTTCTTCTTCAGGTTTGGTATGCCATACGAACTGCATTTGGATCAAGGCTGTAACTCTGAATCAGCTGTGTTCCATGAATGTTGCAAGCTCTTTGGCATACGAAAGACCAGAACAATGCCACTTCACCCACAGTCTGATGGGATGGTAGAAAAATACAACTGGACACAGAATTGGCAAAGTTTTGTAATAGCTGCCAAGATGACTGGGATGTCTTACTCCCTCCACTGTTGATGGCTTATAGAACAGCAGAGCATGAAACCACTGAATACACTCCAGCAAAGTTGATGTTTGGTCGAGAACTTTGGTTACCAGTGGATCTGTTAACAGGACGCCCACCTTATAAAGAGTTGCCTGAAAATGTGTCAGAATTCGTGAAAGTGTTATTGGAAAGGATGAATAATATTCACCATCAAGTGCTTTCAAACATGAAAACGTCTGCTGATTCTATTAAGTTATGTTATGATAAGAGATCTACTGAAGACAACTTTGTACCAGGAGACAATGTGTGGTTGTATAATCCCAGGAAGACCAAAGGGAAGTCTCTTAAGTTGACTTCTACATGGAAAGGCGTGACTTTCCGAATAAAATGTGGTCGGCGAGGCAAGTCAAAGGTGGTGCATGCTAACAGGCTTTGGCATTATCACGGTCCATGACATTTCAGTTGGAACGAAACAAACGATGCTGCGGAAGACGTGTCACCTGAAAAAGCCACTGTCGAAGAAAAAATTCTACCCGGTTTTGAGAAGGGAAACAGTGAAGCCCTTTATGAGGTTACTTCTACTGATGTGACTATTACCAATAATGGGACAATTCCCGATGGAGCAGATGAACCTCACGTGAAACAGAAGCCAACGAGATGGAGACCAGTACAGAAGAAGATACGCCCCATAAAATTAAGAGACTGTTGAATTTTAATTTAGTGTTTGTAAATTCTGTACATTTAATTAAGTTATTGTTAATCATCTATTGGTTTAGTTCAAGTGGCTATTGTTCGGAACGAACAATAATAAGGAAGGGGCAGTATTACGACAACGGAAGTCACGTGACGCTGGTAACACGTAATTAGTATCTAGAAGGTTCCTGAAGGCTCGAGACGCCCTTTATTTTGTATATATAAGACTGGCAAATAAAGCGGCGAAGAATATAGTTGCAGATAGAGAGATTGAAGATATAGACACGGATAATCGAGTCAAGCGGGCACCGTAAGTAAAGTGCGTGAATCGTTGGGAATTATAGCGTGTGTTTAAGTAAAAGGACTGTGGAAATTAAGTGTATTGCAAAGTTGAATTGAGAAAGAATAAACTAGTTTTATTTAAGAAAGGACTTGTATCGCAGAAGTTTTTCGGAAAGAATTTCTACGAAAAATTAACAAACGACCAGAGGCGTAACAGGAAACATTGGTAGGTTTATGTACGATGCAGAGATGGGAGTCGAAAATTTAGGCTTACTTATTAAACTTGATCAATATTTAAAAAATAGTTTCAATAGTAATGTGCCCTAAAGTCATAATGTTTCAAGTCCATGCTGTAACCAGCATGACGTCACTGTTGGCTACTCACTTTTTAACATAATCTATTGGTACAAGTTATTTTTAGAATAAATTTAAAACATATGAAGAAGATTGTGTTAGAAATAGGTGTTTTCTCTGAAGAAAAGGTGGAGCGAAAATCATAAATATTTGTTCCAAGCATTTAGGAATATGGAAAAAAATCCTTATAAAGTGGCGGTACGGAAAACAAAGAATAATATAGCTGCTAGTAGTTGTACCCCGTACCGCCGTATATCTACTTACTTTGAGCACTGTTTATTTTATTTATTCTATTGTCTAGAAGTTTTTTGCTTATTTGCATTAAATCTGTAAATATATGTTTTGTAATTCTTCTTTGGTGAGTGACTTGATAAGGAAAAGAATATAATAAGTTTATTATTTGATAACGACTACAGTTTAATTAATGGTAGATCCACAAGTTAACCAATGAACAGGAGTTCGTTTTTTATGTGTCCAATATTTTAATCATGATATATATCTATATATATATTTTTCTTTTTCTGAATAAGCAAACAGTATTTTAAAGTTTGCAGCAGACGACACAGGAATAAACAAAACAGCAACAAATACAGTTACAGCACAATTGAATAAGTTATTTTTTAAGCTCGATAACAGTTGAACATTTTATAGGATTCAGTTAATAACCAATATTTTAACATGGAAGACATGAAATATATGATGGAGTTATTTATTTCTCTAGTAAGTGTTCTTGTTACCAATCGAGCTTAATTTAAAAAATAATTTAATATTAATAAGAAAGTTGAGAATTATAAAACATAACCAAAAAAGTGTGGTAGTTGAAGTTTAAATATGTTGAATGTTAGAATACACTTTCTTTTCAGGTAAATATAATTGAAGAACTTATTGTGGTACATTTCAAGATGAGTTATGAATACTGCTCTAAAACTGGGAACGAATGTCAGCTTAGCGTAGAAATGATTAAAACGGATTCCGACAGTAAAATACAATTATATAGGCCTACTTCCAGAAACTTTCAGCTAAGAGGTAATAAGACAACGTGCCAGTAAGGCAAAAACACTACAAAAATTCTTGTCATTAGACAGTAATATATGTTAAAAAGTATGGTTAGCTAAGACATGTTTGAAGTAAGCAAACTTACTTTGATTTTATTTCAGTTTCCGTTAACAGCGAGTGGACCAGGAAAATAAACAACAACATACTTAAGACCAGTAAGTGCATGTTATATGTATTAGCATATAGACTTAAACAAAGAATTTTTAACTTTCTAAAACTTGGTAATTTTGTTTTTTGTTACAAAACCACTTTTTGATTTTTAAACTGAAATAAAATGTAACAAATAATTATAACTAACTCTGTTCTGCTCAAGGTACTTTTTAATTTTATCTCATTTGAAAGAAAGACCTTATACTTATAATGATTTAAGTTATAGAAACATAATTTTTGAATAACCTCAGTAATTTAAATGAATGTTCATCATTGAGCGAATTGATTTGTTTTGTAATTGATATATTTTTGTATGTAATAAACATCTTATATTGTTAATCCATGTTTTAAAGTTTTTGAATTTTTCTTAAGCTTAAAGAAACTTAACAGGTGTTTAAAATTTTAATTCTTTCAGTAATTTCTCAAATATTCTCAGAAAAAGAATTAATACCAATAGGAAAATCATGCATTACAATTACGAGAGTAAATCCACAAAATCCGTTTGAAGCTTTTTGCCATCGAGTTATAGAATTAAATCCTTCAAATAACATTGAATTTGATACATTAGTTATGTCATCAGGATCATTCATTGAGAATACTACATGCATGATCTGGGCTGTACAGGTATGTTAATATTTACACCCTATATACAGGTGCATGCTTTTTTTGGGTCATAGCAAACTTTAAAGGAAAAAAATAATAACACAAAAAAAATCGTATAATATATATCAGGCAAATGTTTAACTTTTTTGTTATTATAAATTGATAAAAAAATATTTTCATGAAAGTTTTTTAATAATTAATTAAAGTTTTGTTGAAAAAAACTACCAGTTTCACCTTAGTATTCTTGATTAAGGGCACTTGGATCATTTTATCTTATTACTTTATAATATCATAAATAACTTGAATTAACAGTGCTTGTTAAGTAAATTAAAAAAAAATTAATATCTTAATTCCAAAATTTTCTATCATATTTACAAGAATGGTTAAAGAAATATGTTAACAATATTTGTATCCATAAAAAATAATTGGTGTGAAATATCTTTTTTTTTTGTAAGTTACATGTAAGATGTTAAACCTTTATAATGGTTCTGTATGAACTCCAAAAAGTGTAAAGATGTTTTGGTCAGGTTCATATTGTATTCTTCGTGAGTATGCTTAAATGTTATAAGATTAACAAAATATATAATTGGTATACTTATGTTGTTCAGTGAAGAACCAGAAAATCTCAAGAAATACAAAAAGAAACAGAGTTAAAGCTGATATTCTGACAATAGAAGTCTTAACTTTATTGTTCATTATAGTTTAACTCACTGTCAAAATATTTACTGAAATTTAGAATATGAATATTCTTTGCTACTTATTTAATTTGAAAATGTTCTCTAAATTAAACCTGTTTATAAATACGAATAATTTACTGATGTATCTGCATGCATGTCATGAATTTTTAAAGTTCCTTTTAGGAAAGTTAATAAAAAAATTAATGGTAACAACATTGTTTAGTACAAAAAACAGCTAACTCAAATATTACATAAACATCATTTTAAACTGTGGGTGTTTTTGCTATTTAAGATAAATATTTCAATCGAAGCCTTGCTAAGACTGGAGGAATACTTTCAGAGTTATCTGGGATATTTGCAAATTTTCCATCCCATGGTAAGTGGAAATGTAAAAGATTTTAGCACTTAAAATATGGCAAAGATAATTTAAAAGTTTTGAACTAACATGTTATCATAGCTTTCTGTTTGGAGAATGTCTAGTGTATTTAGGTAACATTTAATAGATAAATCTAATATTTTCACTTGTATTTGCATGGTTGTCAATCGTTACTTAGTATTTTTATGCATGTATAATTTCATTTGAAACAATTCTTAGTATGTTAAACATTTATCATTAGATGACCTTCACTCTGAAGAAATTCTTTGATTCCCAAGATGTTTCTTTTCGGTAATTTTTTTCATAATATATTAATATCTTTGAAACTTAACTTTAGTATTAATTTCAAATTCATATTTTACTCTTATATCAGTTAATATCAAATAACTAATCCAAATTAATGGATAAAAGTAAGATGTTCCCTTTGATATTTGTATTTAACCATCAAAAACTCGTAAAAAAAACAACATTTGTTTCATTTTTTTCCTATTAATATTTGAGATATGCTAACATAAAGAGAGTTTGAGTCAAATATGGCATCTTTTGCATTTGACAAATTGAAAACTTGTCTTTTTCTATCATATTGAAATATTTATATTACTATTAATTATTTTTAAGATATATAATGTAAAATTTAAGCAGGATAAGTAATACCACTGAAAGGGTAAATAATTTATTTAATGAATGTTTTCATTCCATCTTCAACTATTTTTGTCTCAAGGATTAAAAATATGAGAAACCAAGGAAATAATTGGAAATATTACAATGTTTATACACAATTCAAAATAACTATGAAGTAAACTAAAACAAGTTTAGTTTCACAGAATTACAACAGTTAGGAGACTTTTTCATGTCTATGCAGCCTGTATAGCATTTGAAAATCAGATAAATACATTTTATGATTAATGACTTGATTATGTGTATGAATGGCTGGTGTAAATGGGGATGGTAATTTTTGGCTGGTATGAGTGAACTTTTTACATGTTCATGGGTAATGTAGACTTAGGAATTTCACCAAGAACTGGCCAAAATATTTCACTATCTGACTTTCATATTCTAATTACAGGCTGCATTGACATGGAATTGCACACAAAAGACAGACTTCTAATGAAACAGAATTTTCAAAATTAAATAACTTTTGTACTTCAAGATATTCATTAAACTTGTTTTGAATCATTTCTGTGGTAGTTCTGTTCTCACCATATGAATCAAATATAGTTAAAATTGTAATTAAAATTCAAAAAAAAATGTACATTATTAATGATAAACTGTTTAGTTGAGAATAAACTATAATGAAATTGTAATAGTTAACAGACTAATTCTCTTAAGCTTTTCCAGTAAATCTTAAATATTTAAACTTATGTTTTATATTTGACAGGATTGGCAGCAATCTTTCAAGTGGTGGCAGAAAAATAATTCTTCCAAGTATGATTTATAATAAAGGGTAAGGAAAGGAAACTAGTTTAGCTATACAGATAATATTTTGATTACTAATAATTAGTAAAAACAACGTTTTTATAATGAATGTACTGGTCTGAACCTCTGAACAATGGTTGAAATCAATTCAACCATTTTTCCCTTTTAGTTCGTTCAGTTTTTCCAAAATTCATTGAGCTAATTATTTTACTTATCAAAATTTTTTCACTGATTACTTTCTCCTTATACAGGTTACCAATCAACACCAAAGATCTTTTCTTTCTGCTTGGTACATCAGCAACTCTTAAACCTATTAATATATCTGCTGATGAATTTCTGCCCCTAATTGTACAGACATATATTGTTGGATGTCCAAAAACATCTCCTAGTGATGAATGTGCTTCAACTGTTACAATATCCTTTGGATAAGTAGTTCAATATAACTAAAAAAGAAACTAGGAACATAATCTATTTTTTTATAGACGTAAAATTAGCATATATATTTTGTGGCGAACAGTATTGTTTAAAGTTTGTAATACTTATTGATTTAAAAAGTGTAATATATTTTTGAATGGTTTATGCACCTAAGTTTTAAACTAGCATATTGTGGAAAAATATTCTAAGGTACACCCTTTTGAGATTTTGTGAGTGATCTTGAATCAGTGTATTATGGAGAATCAAACCTCTAACATCTTTTCTATGTTATTGCATGCTCTTGTTTTAGTTTTGGGAAATATTGTGAAAAACATTTGTACCAACTATGACGTTTTTTTAATGACTTTCTTATATGTACAACAGTTCTGGTTAAGTACATGTATCCTGTTGTTATGTATTTGCTTGTTTGATAATTTCCGAGTAACTTCAGCGATACAAGTCCCTTCTTGATTAAAACTAGTTTATTCTTTCTCATTACAAACTTTGTAATACATTTAATTTCCACAGTAACTTTAAACTTAACAACCTTTATAACACACGCTATAAATCACAGTGATTCGCACACTTTACTTACGGTGCCTACTTTTCGCTTGATTCAATTATCTCTATCTTCAATCTATCTGCATATCTATCTATCGCTGGCTTATATACTAAAAAAGAGGGCGTCTAGCAAACACTGGGACATTTGCGAGGTTCCCCGATAAGTCATGATCCTTCTAGAAACTCCAGCACGCATGCTCTCAGCGTCGCGTGACTTCCGCTGTCATAACACTGTGTTGAGATTTCAAGTTTACTACAGATATAAATTTGTAAGTTTCTCACATTGAAAGACCCGTACCTCGGGCCAGATAGTAAAATGCAACATTATTAATTGATTAGAAGTACATAAGCCTAACTCAAGCATAAGTAGCACCAATACAGTAAATACTTTCTACCATATTGGAACTTACTAAAGCGTTGACTTGCAGTTTTAAGGTACTTGTCACTTGAAAGATTTTCTTAGTTGAAATCTAATTAAATGATTAATTTTTTTATATTGTGCATTGTATATCAACAGATTTGAGCAATATTAATAAAGGATTTTCATTTTATGTTGTGTTAGATTCTTAATTTTTCTATATTAGTTTTTTAGGACCAGACTTCTTCCCTATCTGGTCTATTCCTAAAGCACAAGATTTTCGAGACATTTTACACATGAGTGCTGATTGGGATGTATCCATGTCTAGTCCGTTTATAGGTTATGAAGGAAAGACAGATCTACATGGTAAATGTATCTTCAAGTTTGATTTGTTTAAATGTTCATTTAACAGTTACTTGATTCAGCATAGGTCTTGAACATTTGTTTAAGCTGAAATTCAAATACTTATATAATGAAAAGTTTTTTCCTAGAAGTTCTAATACATTCTCCATTAGACTAGCTTTTATCTTTCTGTTAATTATTATTTATAGAGCATCAAACACTACAACAGTTACATCTATTGGCCAAACTAGTATTACATTATTACAATGAAATATCAACAACTATCGAAATTGCAAGAAGCAACTTACAAAATAAATCTATTAAATGCTGGTGCACAATAATAAAATAATGACAACTTTATAATAACAAGGCATGCTGTTCAATAATGGTAATATTTAGATAGGAATTTAAAGTTTTCAGGAACATTTTATAAAATTATACTTTTATAAAAATAAACTCAAAACCAAAGATTTAAGTTTATCAATTTTACAACATATAGTTATTAATAAAGATCAACGAAGTAGACATACCAAAACCTGTTGTGACTTATTTTTCTGTTTATTACAAAGCTAAGATGATGAATATAGACATACCAAAACCTGTTGTGACTTGTTTTTCTGTTTATTACAAAGTAAAGATGATGAAGATAGACATACCAAAACCTGTTGTGACTTGTCTTTCTGTTTATTACAAAGTTAAGATGATGAATATAGACATACCAAAACCTGTTGTGACTTGTCTTTCTGTTTATTACAAAGTTAAGATGATGAACATAGACATACCAAAACCTGTTGTGACTTGTTTTTCTGTTTACAAAGCTAAGATGATGAATATAGACATACCAAAACCTGTTGTGACTTGTCTTTCTGTTTATTACAAAGTTAAGATGATGAACATAGACATACCAAAACCTGTTGTGACTTGTTTTTCTGTTTATTACAAAGTTAAGATGATGAATATAGACATACCAAAATCTGTTGTGACTTGTTTTTCTGTTTATTACAAAATTAAGATGATGAATACTTTTAAATAAGTTTCTGTAAACTATAAAATGTGATATTATACTTTTTGTAAATTGAAGTTACAATAGAATCCATACAGATGAGGGAGAGAAAAAAAATAGGTTTAGAAAGCTCTGTTAAGTAGATATTTAGGCAGTTTTGGTGATTTTCATGAAGCAAACTTTTTCTGCCAACTTCAATATGATAAATATTCAATACTGCTAGAGGATGGTATCTCATATGTATTAGTTACAAAATATTATTTTTGTTATGATAAATTTGGTATGTGAGGCCTCTAACTTTACCCTAATTCTTTCAGTGAAGTTCTTTCTTAACCATCCTCAAAATGTTATTGTTATGAAATAATTGAATAGATGTTAGTACTTTATTTTGAAATGATTGTATTTAAGCAGTAAAAATAGTATTTTACATCAATTACTAATAATTTACAATCTGTAAACCTTGCCAATTCCTAGTAACCTCTAATTAATTTTCAGTTATTGACAGATCTTATTATCTTTCACATTATTTCTAATGAGATATCTCAGTAGTTATTTTTCAGTAAACAGCAGCTGAAAATCTATAAATAATCTGAACTGGCTAATAAAACAACAAATTTGTTTTTTTTTGAAATATCAGAATAAAAAGTTATTTTAAAACTGACTTTATTTCTTGATGTCTTACTTGAGTTTGTTTCTCCATTTGTTGATATTTTTCTTGTTCAAGATACTAGAGAGATTAAATTTATAATGATAAAAATATTAAATTGTTGAAATAAATATCCAATATTTTATTTTGTCTGATGAATTCAAAAATTAAATGTATACATGGAATTCCAAATACTGTTTTTTTCAGTGAAATTACTACATTCTGTGATTGACAAACACATGTGAGGATAATGAAAGGGTTGGATAACCATTTTCAGATTTGTTTTGTTATTTGAGAAGTGATTAATTGAAAAAAAGAAAAATCTTTTTATGTTAAGCCATCAATTTTACACAAATGTAATACTTTTATATCGAAAAGTAAATTCAGTTTTTATGATAATTAATTGAAATAATGAAATATATTTTTTCATAAGATAAAAAGACAAGAAATTTGTTATAACAGTTCTGCCATTTTACAGTTTCTACAAGTCTGAAGTTTGTGCAGTCTAATGTTAGTGACAAAGATGAACTAATCGACATTTTGTTATTCATGAGGATTCGACCAGAAATTGATAAAAATAACGATGAAAGTAGATGTAGCAATGGGAAAAGTAAGTTTATTTTGGCTTTTTAGTCATAATATTACTATTGTTGGTTTCAAAAATTAGGAATTTATTTATGATAACATTTAAATAAAAATAATTATATATTTTCTTATTCAAAGAATATTATCGAGGGAAATGAATGTTAATTTATCTAGAAACAACACATATTCTCAGAAAGAACCTGTACAACATCATAACAGAAAATGCACCAGTTTTACAAGAACTCCTAATCCAGAATTTTAAAGCTGCATTGAAGCATGTTTGTGAGAGACTGCAGGTAAAAGCTGTGATATATAATTAACTGAAATGTTTTGTAACAGATTAGGAGTAGTTCAATAATATTATACTTGTCTTGATAGTTCATGTCTGGTATAATTATTTATATTCGTTGTTACTTTACTGCATCTGGACAACTGATTTAAATACCGTGACTACTAAATTTTGATTTAAACTAAAGTATTGGTTAGATTCAGCATGACTAGAGTTAAAGGTAGAGATACATTTTAAAAACGAATCCATGTTCCTCGAAAAAACCTCTTTGTGTTCCTTGGAAACATTGGTTATTGTTTACCAAAAATCATAGATAAGTTAGGCATTATACTGTATTTTCCTTATTATAAGTTGCACCTTTATATTAGTCGCAGGGCTGATTTTTAGGGATTTTTTAAAGTTTTTATACACACGTAAGTTGCATCTCTATATAGGTCGTACCTCTGCGATCTTAAAAAATTCATCTTTCTGCTGTATGACATGTATTTTTATTATTTGTTTATGCATACATTGTTATATTTAATGTTTTTGTTGTTTCACATAAATAAAATATATAAAAAACCATTATAATTTGTTTATGTGTGTTCCCTTTCCTTCGAAGTTTGATCATCCTCATTTGTGACATGATGAAGGTATTGGCTGTATCATGTCAGTTTTATATACCGGTATGTCGTTTTGTTTTATTTCTGTTGTGAAAATGGTGATGACTAAAGAAATTAATATGGACAATCACTGCACCATAGAAAATGTCATACATAAGTCACTCATAAAATTCTTTTGCAAAAAATAGCAACTTATACAAAGGAAAATATGGTAATAAATGTTTTTAATATGTTAACACATTGTGGACAGGTTATGAGTTTACTCGTGTTTTGTGCAGAGCATCTTTGTGTGCCACTTATTAAAATGTTGAGTTTGAAACGAGTCAGACGTGTTTTATTTAGTTCATAACTCAACTATATTTTTTATTATTTATTTGAAACTTCCAGAGTATGCACATCAAGACACTTGTTAAATTTTTGAAGTATGGTATCTTGTAAAATATTTTCTTATATGGAGTGGAACTGCACAAAACTTTGATGTGTATCACGTTACACTTCTTTTCCCATGAGTACTACGAACTCTGCAGGCTCTGGTAGGAAATTTATTTTTTCCTGTTGATGAAATGAACACAGGAATATGCTGCTTCATGTCACCAGATAGTCTTCCTGGGGGATCCGTATGTGGGGCTCTCCTTGTACCTTCAGATGATGGACAGGGTTTGTTCCTCTCTAGTTCCAGTGAGCCTTCTTTCTCTTTGTCAGTAATCCATTGTTTTGCCACAGAGAGGAGGAATTGCTTATATATTTTTTTTCTGTTGATTCAGGGCTTTGTAGATTATACATGAATTAAAAAGACCATAATTTATTAAATAAAATACTACCTTTTTTTGTCCATTTCACTGTTTCCTGAGAATGGTGTTGTATGAGAGGTACTGATTTGCAAGATCAACAACTTTCATGTGGGCATTGTATTGGAGAATACACTCTGTTTTTTATTTCTTCTCCAGTTTTTCTATTTTTATTTCCTGTGGTAGAAACAGATGAGCCATGGATGGTTGAAACCATTCTCACTTCTCTCTTGTTTTTCCATATGAAAAGGAGAACATCACCTTTTCTATGGAAAGCTGTTTCACCTGTTTTCATTGTTGAAATTCCAGGCTTGGCGGCAACCATTTATTCACTCTGATTGTTCCGCAGACTCTTGTTTTATGTTCTAGGAACAGTTTTGCAATGGAAGTATTGTTGTAATAATTGTCCTGATATACATGATACCACAATCCAAGATTGGGAGCAAGAACTGAAAGATTAGTCTCCTCCAATTTCTTCCCCTCACCAGTATAAATCTCCATGTTGTAAATATAACCTGTGTCACTAACACACACCATTCTCACCAGCAGGCCATATTTTACAATTTTTGTAGGGTTGTATGTTTGGAATCTTAGACGTTCTCTCCATGGAATCATGCCCTCATCCAATGACAACTATTGCCTTAGTTTGTATAATGTCCTAAATTTATTGGGGAAATAATCCAGTACCAGTTAAATTTTAAAGAACCTGCTTGATAACTCATTCATTTTCTTATTATCATTGAAATACCAAAATGTCCAAATTTGCTCAAATTTGTTTCGGCTCATTGTCTGCGAAAATACTGGGCTAATCAAAAGAGGATCTGTTGACCAATAATCTTTCCAGTTATATTTCCTTGTCTGTCCCAATAGTAGAATATGGCCTAGGAATTTCCTCGTGTCTGTAGGTGTAACTTCAGACCATTGATGTCCTTTAGATGGCATTTTATGTTTCTCTGGAGTTTGATTATGGTAGATACACATTTCCTGACAGAACATTTCAAAAAAGTCATCACCAAACATTAGACTTGTCGCAGAAGCAATACTTTCAGGTTCAGATGGAGTTATAGTGGCCCCTGTATTTCCTTCAAACATTTTCAAGTTCGGTGGAATATCTATTTCTGACCAATTATCATTATCATAATGGGAAGACAAATCAATAACGGGAACATTTGTAGAATCATCATCATTTTTTGATTCAGAATCAGTTGAGAGTTCAACAACTTTGCATATCTTTGTAGGTTTAACAACATCATTGTAGCTAGAGTCACTGTCAGAATGATCCACAAACATGTCCACATCAGAATCTTCACCTTCACTTGGAAGATCTGACAAATTATCATCAAATAGTTCAGTAATTATCTCATCTTCACTCAACACTTTACATTTTCTGTGAGAAGCCATTTATAATAATATGGGTATTGTAAGCAAATAAAATCCGGAACAAAATAAAATACGTTCGACTCCTTTCGAATGCAACATTTTAATAAATGGCACACAAACATGCTCTGCACAAAACACGAGTAAACTGGTGACCCGTCCGCAACGTGTTAAAACATGCCTTTAAAATACTTAATAATGTCTATTAAAAGTAGGGTAATTCAAGTGTATAATTGTACATTTTGTTTTACTGTTCATTATAATCTAGAAACAAACAATAGTGGACCAAACGATTCAACAGACAGCATCTGCTTTAAGAAGCATTTTAAAGCACAGTACTAATGAAGCCTTTACTTTGAGATGCCAAAGATATATTGGTGTAAGTATAAAAAAAAAGTTATATAAGGAAAGATTTAATAATTTTTAAAATTTGTTTTATAATTTGAAACATCGGTGATTCCAGTAGTTTGTACATAGTAAGCCATACAACCTTTGTAACAGCCTTTTAGATATTTTCTGAACTTCCACAATCCAAATATTGTGTAACTTGTATTTTTTTAATAAAGATAACATTCAAAATATGTAAGTGATAATTGTAGATAATATGTCAGGACCTTAGCAAAGGTTAAAAGAAATTTATACTGGGTTGGTCCACCTGTTAATCAGAAGTGAACTGAGAGAAAAATAATGTATTGCATCTACTAAAGTTCCTACTGACTGCTTGCTGCTGACATGGAAATTAAAGAAAGGTTTATAGATAATCAACTACATAAGCTATTTTCAAAGTTCGTCACATTTTATATGTGCATCTGTCATAATGGATGTCATCAGTAAGCACTGAACAATTATATTTTCAAGAGTATTTATATTACTGAAGATTGTTTAAAGATACTGGCAAAATGCTGAGGAATAAGTGATTTTTGGAATATTAAGTAAAGTATCTATCTTGAGGAAAGATTAGTTCTATATGTGTATTGGTTACTAGCTGTTATATGTTATGACTTTCAAGTTGTGGTGATCTTACATTTTGTAATATAGCTTGAGGCATTTAACACGGTGATATATTTATTAACTGTCAGTGCAGCGCCACCTATGAGGTGGAGAAAGCCCTTGTGGTTCATCTACAGAAAATTGTATCAAAAATAATGGGACGGTTGCCGGAAGACCAAGAAAACAAAGCTGTTTCATTTTTGAATAACTCGGTACTACAGGTGACGGGTGATGTGGATGACGATGACGATTTCGTATTCCTGATGGTAATTTGTTTCATCCAACCTTATAAAATTACATAAATTTTATTTATTTAACAAAAGTTACAGTGGTTTACATCCAATTAGATTTCTGCCAATATGTCAGTTAATACTCTAGAATTTAGAAATAATCGTAGTCATATTAACTTTTAACTAGCTACTCATTTCTCATGTTTGATTTTTTTTGTACACATGTTTGTAATTAGTCACAAGGCTACACAACGGGCTATCTGTGCTCAGCCCATCATGAGTATCTAAACCCAGTTTCTAGCAGTGTAAGTCTGTAGACATACTACTATGCCACTGGGGGCATTTTTCATATGACTATGAGTTTTAAACTAATTGTACTGACGATTTTAAATGTATTTTCTAATATTGTAAATAGGATCTGAAACTTACTAGGAAGGGTGGATGTGAAATAAAAAATATATATACTAAAATATAAAATGGCATTAAGCTGTTTTGGTAAACTAAATTGCAATGCTTATGGTTACCAGATTTCTAGAGTACAAAACTGAAACCTTTTTTTCTTTGTACAGAGGGACAATGTAACAGCTCTGTTCATGATGTCAGAAAAACACGTAGGTTCAAGAAGCCTTGATACAAGTTAATTAAAAATATATATATACTAAAATATAAAATGGCATTACGCTGTTTTGGTAAACTAATTTGCAATGCTTATGGTTACCAGATTTCTAGAGCACAAAACTGAAACCTTTTTTCTTCATACAGAGTGACAATGTAACAGCTCTGTTCATGATGTCAGAAAAACACGTAGGTTCAAGAAGTCTTGATACAAGATGATTCTGAGTTTGCCCATGAAGAAGAAAAGCCCACCTTTCGAAAGTGCTAGGGTTATAGGGATTTTATCATACTGTAACAGCTCTGAAACAGTTTAAATTACAATAACACACTTTTTATGATTTGCTAAATAATCTGATGTTTATTACATCACGTTTATTTTTCAAGGTTGAGCAGGTCTTCAAAGTTGTACTCCCGTGGCTGCCCAGTGACAGATTAAGTAAAGAAAACATGTGATTTGTCTTTGTTAGGTGATTCTCCAAGTAACATTTAAAGGAATTGTATATAATGATAAACTGTGCATATTAAAGTCACATTTAGGTACAGAGAAACTGGGATAATTCAACACATACTGTGTTTGATCAGGAAAAAAAAAAAGGGCCAAAAACTGAGATGTGTGATAACCAGAGCAATGTTCTATTACTATTAGAACCATTTAAGACTTAGGAGTACTAATAATAGTAATTTCCTGTAGCAGGCTTAATGTCAGTTTTCTTTGAACTCACTTCCCACGATCCTATTAGATGATCCACACATCACAACAGTACCTATTATGCAAATTTTTAAAGTCAAAAAAATGGTAAAAAGTATTAAATAGTTGATTAAATAATACTTTATAAAGTAAACCACTCTCTGATCAATGCCAAATGATTAATTCTTGTTTAAAAATATATGAAATTCATTTTACTAACTCTTCAGGCAAACCATTTTTTTTAAGCCCACATATTATGTTAAATGGGAAGGTATAGTTTACTTACCTGGAGCTGGGAACAGCTATAATTTACTATTATAAGCAGTATGTATTGACTATATAACTGTGACTCTCTCCCTAATTTACTATTATAAGCAGTATGTATTGACTATATAACTGTAACTCTCTCCCTAATTTACTATTATAAACAGTATGTATTGACTATATAACTGTGACTCTCAACCTAATTTACTATTATAAGCAGTATGTATTGACTATATAACTGTGACTCTCTCCCTAATTTACTATTATAAGCCGTATGTATTGACTATATAACTGTGACTCTCTCCCTAATTTACTATTATAAACAGTATGTATTGACTATATAACTGTGACTCTCTCCCTAATTTACTATTATAAACAGTATGTATTGACTATATAACTGTAACTCTCTCCCTAATTTACTATTATAAACAGTATGTATTGACTATATAACTGTAATTTTCTCTCTAATTTACTAGTTCCACTTTCTAGACTTTGTAGTTTTCAAGCTGAACGTTTTTTGTTTTGTTTTTTCTATAAACAGGATCCCTGATATTTATAAGAATTTTTAATATATTTCAAGATCTATGTCAGGTTTTTGGCAATTTCCATTAAAATCGAAGCAGCATAAGCTAATTACATGGATGGGACAGACTAAAAATAAAACTGAGAATTATATCCTTGGAGTTTACATAAAAACGAAATTTACACTTGTGTCAGTGATATAAATGTTAGTGTTTACTTTAAAATTAGCCCCCCCCCCCCAGTGGCACAGCGGTATGTCTGCGGACTAACAACGCTAGAAACCGGGTTTCGATACCCGTGGTGTGCAGAGCACAGATAGCCCATTGTGTAGCTTTATGCTTAACTTCAAACAAACTTTAAAATTAAATAATTATAGACATTGTAACAAACTTGGCTAACGCTGACTCACTCGAACATAACCCCTAGTGGCTCAGCGATAAGTTTGAAGACTTATAACGCTAAAAACTCCTGGTGGCCACAACACAGATAACCCATTGTGTAGCTTTGCTTGTATTGTTCCATCTCTGTATGTTTGTTTGTTAATTCTTCTACGATACAAGTCCTTTCTTTATAAAACTTGTTTATTCTTCCTCAATACAACTTTGTAATGTACTTAATTTTCACAGTTATGCACACACTATAGTTCACAACAATTCACTCACTTTCTATTGCGCTTAGACTTAATTGTCTGTCCCCGCCAACTATAGTTCCAATCTCTGTGTCTGCTATCCTCGGTTCCCGCCGACCGTAATCTCTGTCTTTCTTTCTCTCTGCCTGCTTCGTCTCTGCCTTGTCTCTGTCTCCACTACTGCTTCGACTCCGAATGTCTCTCTCACTGTCTAGCGTACTTATATACGATAATACTGCCTGTTCTAGAAACTTCTAAGACTCTCAACACATGCTACCAGCGTCAATTGACTCCTGCTGTTGGGGGTCACGTGACGAATATTCTAGAAGATTCGCTAGTGTGTTGGCTGTCGTAACACACGAGCGAATCTTCTAGAATACTCGTCACGTGACCCCCACTGTCGTAACACTTGGTATTCCTAGCTGCACTCAACATGAGTCTGGATTTAATGGAATTAGCTAATTCTGAACATTTATTACCAGAAATTGCTTATAGATCTGTGGCATTCTTTCATAACGTAATCAAAACATGGACAAATATTAATCAAATTTTAGTAAATATACACCTGGAAAAAAGTTAAGCACCCCCAAATATTTTTCAGGATTGCTTATTGAAAATAAGGTTTAATTTTCATGATGCTGAGCAATGTTCATAATTTCAAACATAATTAAAAGGATGTGAGCGTTCAGGTGTGACATTTAGATCAGGCGCGTTTTTTTTCCCCACGTGCAACTTGCTCCCTTCTTCACGTCCAATATGCACTATTTTCTCGTGCATATTTCTCGTCCCGAATTTCTGAATGCAAAATCATTTTAAGTAAGAATGGCAAGAA